ATCGCGCTCTCGCTTGTGACTTCGTGGCCATTTGCTACCGGATCGCGGCTCCCGCTTGATACTTCCTCACAATGTATTGAAGAAGCGCGCTCTCGTTCGGAACTTCCTCGCAACCTACCACCGAATCGCGGCTCCCGCCTGATACTTCTTCACAACTTATTCAGATGCCGCTCCTCGACAGGCAGGAATCATTCGGTACATATTGCCTGGCGGTTCAAGCAACATTCACTCTTCAATCACCCGCCCGCTCGACCCGCCCGTCTGGGTGTGCCCGCCCGACCAGCCCGTTAGGGACTGCAGTCGCCGTTCGCTGCCCTTCGCCCGCCTTCGATGCCCCTCGCTGCCCGTGCTGGTTCCGCGGTCGCCTTCGCTCGCTGCCCTTCGTGGCCCCGTTGCTGCCCTCAGTGGCCCCGTCGCTGCCCATTGTGGCCCCGCATTATATGCCCTTCGTTGCCCCCGCTCGCTCGCGCCCGTCGTGGCCCCATACGCATGCCCTTCGTAGCCCCGCTGTCGCCCTTCGTGGCCCTCTCGCTGCCCTTCGTGGCCCCTTTGCTGCCCTCAATGGCCCCGCTGTCGCCCTTTGTGGCCCCATGTACGAATGCCATTCGTGGCCCCCGCTCGTTCGCGCCCGTCGTGGCCCCATATGCATGCCCTTCGTGGCCCCGCTGTCGCCATTCGTGGCCCCCTCTCTGCCCTTCGTGGCCCCGTTTCTGCCCTCAGCGGCCCCGTTGCTGCCCTCTGTGGCCCCGGATTAATTGCCCTACGTGGCTCCGGCTGAATCGCGCTATCGCTCGACATTTCCTCGAGATTTATGCAGGACCCACGCTTCAACAACCCGCCTGCTCGACCTCGTCGCTTGGGCCTGCCTTCCCGACTTGCCCGCTATGGGTCTGCCCATCCGATCTGTCCGTCTGGTTTTACCACTTGGTGTCTGCTCCTTGCTCCACTCCTGTTAATTTCTCTCGTGCTTTATTCTTCTCACTCCCCCTTCCACCCGTCCTCTCTTCCCTTGCTCAAGGGGCTGCGCAACATACACGTGGCAGGTAAGGAAGATATACCCCCAATGGGGTACGATCGAAAACGACGAGGGCGGGTACCGAGGGCTTGGGGTATACTTATTGATTGGCACGTGGGCACATAGGAGCGAACAGTCTTGAAAGTATTGTTGTTGTTGTTGTTGTTGTTGTTGTTGTTGCTGCTGTTTTTTTTTTTTTTTTTTTTTTTTTTTTTTTTTGTTGTTGTTGTTGAAATTTCCTCTTCCGGAAGAAAATTTATGGTTGATCCCCCCACCCGGTGTACACTGTATTCTTTCGATTGAAGTGCCCCTCCCGAGGGTCGCACTTCGTTTTTTTAGGGAAAATCTTCAGGGTCAAACTGTGTCGTTGGCCCCCGGTTTACAACAACAGCGGCTCCCGCCTGATACTTCCTCACCATTTATTGAAGAATCGCGCTCTCGCTTGAGACTTCCTGGCCATTTGCCACCGAAACGCGGCTCCCGCCGGATACTTCCTGACAGTTTATAGCAGAATCGCGTTCTCGTTTGGGACTTCCTTTCAGGTTACCACCGAAACGCTTCGCTATATATTTTCCTTACAAATTATTCAGGTGCCGCTCCTCGACAGTGAGGAATCGCGCTCCCGCTACATATTGCCTGGCGGTTCAAGCAAGACTTACGCTCCAACGACCCGCCCGCCCGACCCGCCCGTCTGGGCCTGCCCGCCCGACCAGCCCGTTAATGACTGCAGTCGCCGCTGGCTGCCCTTCGCCCGCCTTCGATGCCCCTCGCTGCCCGTACTGGTTCCGCGGTCGCCTTCGCTCGCTGCCCTTTGTGGCCCCGTTGCTGCCCTCAGTGGCCCCGTCGCTGCCCATTGTGGCCCCGCATTATATGCCCCTCGTGGCCCCCGTGGCCCCCGCTCGCTCGCGCCCGTCGTGGCTCCATATGCATGCCCTTCGGGGCCCCGCTGTCGTACTTTGTGGCCCCCTCGCTGCCCTTTGTGGCCCCGGTGCTGCCTTCAGCGGCCCTGTCGCGGCTCTCTGTGGCCTCGGATTTTATGCCCTTCGTGGCCCACGCTGGCTTTTCTTACGATTTACTTGGGAATCGCGCTATCGCTCGAGACTTCCTCGAGATTCATGCAGGCCCCACGCTTCAGCAACCCGCCTGCTCGACCTCGTCGCCTGGGCCCGCCTTCCCGACCTGCCCGCTATGGGTCTGCCCACCCGATCTGCCCGTCTGGTTCTACCACTTGGTTTCTGCTCCTTGCCCCCTTCCTGCTAATTTCTCTCGTGCTCCATTCTTATGCCTCCCCCTTCCACCCGTCCTCTCTTCCCTTGTTCCAGGGGCTGCACCAAATACACGTGGCAGGTAAGGAAGATACACCCCCGATGGGGATATGCTGCAACATACGCGGTGCAATATATGTTGTGCAATACATGTTGTGCGATCTATGTTGTCCAGTATAGGTGGTGCAATCTATGAGGTGCAGTATCTGCTGTGCGATCTATGTGATGCAATCTATGTTGTGCGATCCATGTGGTGCAATCTATGCGGCTTGATCTGTGGTGTGCAATCTATGTGTTGCGACCTTTGTTGTGCACTCTATGTGGTGCCATCTGTGTTGTGCCATCCATGCGTTGCACTCTCCCGGCGGTGACGAGCAGCGACGAGACGGCAACGTGGCGGCGACGGCGGGCACGGAGCCGCCAGACCAGCACACAGGCCCAGGACGACGGGCGGCGACGAGGCGGCGACGTGGCGGCGACGGCGGGCACGGAGCTGCCAGACCAGCACACAGACTCAGTTCCTTACAATACAAGTGAGAGTTCTCGGAAGCGCCAGCATTGTTTTGGGAACAAGCAAAGAGTAGGTATAGCTATGTAGATCTGCGTGTTCATAATTATATGCATGTATGTATGTCTGTCTGTATGTCTGTCGGTCTGTCTGTATGTCTGTCTGTCTGTCTGTCTGTATGTATGTATGTATGTATGTATGTATGCATGGATGCATGTATGCATGTATGTATGTATGTAGTTATGTATGTGTGTATGTATGTATGTCTGTATGTATGTATGTATGTATGTATGTATGTATGTATGTATGTATGTATGTATGTATGTATGTATGTATGTATGTATGTCTGTATCTGTATATATATAGACAGGTCTCGCGTCCTCTCCCTCTCCCTACATACATGTGCACACGTAGACACACAGGCACCTGCACGTCATCATCTGTGGCTCCCCCCCCCCTCTCTTCTCCCCTCTCTCCCTCTCCTCCTCGGCACGCCGCACGTGCTCCGCCATGGCGAGGGCCGGTCCCCGGAGGCACGGGCCCCGGCAGTCCGAGGCTGCTTCGGGCCCCCTCCTCCGGAGCTCTTCCTTCTGCTGCGCCCCTCGGGGGCCGCCGAGGCACGGCGAGGCTCGGGATCGAGGCGCGGGTCGGCAGGGTCCAGGGGGCGGGAGCGAGGATCGAGGGGGGCCCAGGGGGCTCGGGCTCGGGCTCGGGAGCGAGGAGCAGGACGGCAGGGTCCAGGGGTCCAGGGGGCTCGGGCTCGGGAGCGAGGAGCGGGATCGAGGGGGGCCCGGTCGGCAGGGTCCACGACCCGAACTTCCCTCTGGGCCTCTCTCTCCCCACTTCGGCGGCGAGCCCAGGGGGGGAAGTGAGAAGTCAGGTGGCGGGCCTTCTCGGAAGGCTCGGAGGTCTCTCGGCCTTCTGAGAGGTCCCGCCACCTTCTGAGGAGGCCTTTTCCGTCCAACAGCACGAGCACTGCTCTCCTCTCTCCCCTGAGCCTGTCCGGAAGATGTTCGACCCCCCTCCGCGTGTTTTTACACAGGGTTGCCGGGAGTTTGGTTCTCCTATGCGTTTTTGCCATCCGATGTTGTTCGGTTCTTCAAAATGTTTCTCCCGTTGCAGCGTTGGCACCATTTCTGCGCTTTTGGTTGTTTCAAATTGTGCTCCCGCTGCAGCGCGGGCTTTTTCGATCCTTCCAAGTAAGCCCCCCACAATCTAAAGAATGCCCCCCCCCAAAAAAAACCATCGGAAGTGATTGTACATTCGGTGCCGGTTCGTTTTTTTGGGGGGGCCGCTAAGCCCCCCATTTTGGGGCGCCGTCGTTTTCAGGAAGTATCAAGCGGGAGCCCCGCTTTTGCCTCGAGAAGGCGATGTTGGAAGCAGAGCCAGCGGGTGCTCTCCAACAGCCCCGCCTTGTGTGGAGCTACTCGGGGAGCCCAAAGGGCTAGACATGGAGCCACGACTGCAGACTGGTCCGAACCTCTTGCAGACCATCCACTCACCCTCCAAGGAACCCGGCGCCATGCCATGTCATGCTGTGCGGTGTTGTGGTCTGCGCCGCTGTGCGATGCCATGCTTTGCGCTGCAATGCTTTGTGATGCAAAGCTTCACTGCGCAATGCCACGCCATGCTATGGCGCACCACGCTCTGCCGGGTTCTTCTACGCCACGCCATGCCGTGCTCTGCCGTGCATCGCGTAGCCTCTCGCGATCATTGCCCTGCTCGACATCCGACTGTGCGAATATATATATATATATATATATGTATATATAATTATATCCACGCGATGGTAAGGAATTGGAGGGATGGGTAGGACGACCAGCTTGCTCTAGCTTGCTCTTCCCTCCCTCGCTCGCCGCCGACTAATGCCAGTCCCTCTCTCTCCCACACAATCTCTCGCTCTCCTCCTCTCGAGCTCGATTCCGTATCACCATGTTGGTGCGAAGCGCGCCAGTCTGGGCGTGAACCAGATTATCACCGAGCCGTTGCGGCAGCGGGTGACGTTCATGCTGAGCACTGAATGTGACGGATGTTGTTAGCGAGCCGACCAGCCTTTTGTCACGACGGACATGTTCATGGCACTCACTCTCATCCTTTTTTTTGTTTCTCTCTCTCTCTGTCTCTGTCGGTCTCTCTGTCTCTCTCTCTCTCTTTTGTCTATCTCTCTCTCTTTCTCTTTCTCTCCGGCACTCCCCCCGTCCTATCCATCGAGGACCAGCAGCGGTTTGCCGAGGGCTGCGTCGCCGTGGAGGCTGGGCTCGCAGCCGCAGGTTAAGAGAGGGAGCGGCAGAACTAGTAGGAGGAAGGGGAGGAGGATGAGGACGAGGAGGAGGCGGAGGAGGAGGAGCAGGAGGAGGAGGCGGAGGAGGAGGCGGAGGAGGAGGCGGAGGAGGAGTTGGAGGAAGAGGAGGAGGAGGAGGAGGAGGAGTTGGAGGAAGAGGAGGAGGAGGAGGAGAAGGCGGAGGAGCAGGAGGAGGAGAAGGCGGAGGAGTAGGAGGAGGAGGACGAGGACGAGGCGGAAAAGGGAGAGCAGAAGGATGGATGATCAGGGCGAGGACGGGGCCGGACAATCGCCGATTGAGGCTCGAGTTTCGGATCGATATTTTTGCGGATCTTGTCGTGTATTTTGGACTCGCGGGGAGCCAACCACCAGCCCACCCACCTGATTATCAAATCTTTTCGTTCAGTCCGCTGGACCATCTTGTATCATCGCTGGCACTTGCCTGTGTGCTCGCGGGGGCTGAGACGATGATGTGTGGCGGTCGTTTCCCTGAGTTGTCGTGTGAACATTTTTTTTGGAGAAATAGTACAGGGTAGCTGCAAGGCAACACTGAAAGGAGCACGCCCCCACCGAAGTTCCGCCAGTGCATCCCGCCACCGTGCATAGGTCGTTGATCAGCGGCGTATTAGGTGCCCCTTAGGTTTTCTTGGGATGCCTCTCGGGGGCCTCTTTGAGGCTTACTGGAGCGGGCTTCCTGGGGCCTCTTGGTGTCTCTCTGGGACTTCTCGGGCTTCTCGAGGGTTTGTCGGAGCCCCTCTGGGGCCTCATGGGGGCTTCTGGGAGGTCTGCTGGCGGTCTCGGAAGCCCTCTCGGGGGCCTCTTGGATCGTCTCGGTCTGTCGGGACCCTGGACAGTCGAGCACGCCAGAAAGTGTGAAACAAAAATGAATCGCACGTATTGTGGCGTCTTGTCGTTTTCTTGGAGGCCTTCTAAAGCCGTGTTGGGGGCATCTTGGTAATCCGGGGCCACCTTGGAGCGTTCTGGGCCCGTCTCGAGACCTCTAGGACCACCTTGGAGCTCCCTCTGGCTCTCTTGAGGGTTGAATGCGGGTCCTGAAGCCCGCGCCCAGGAATTCCGACATCTGATCCGAATTGCCTTGGGCATTCTTCCTCTGAGGGCCCCCAGGGACCGCCCCGCGCGCGAGCTAGTAATATACAGGTACCATGAATGTTTTGCAGAAGATTCTAGCACACCTTTGGCCCATTGGTCTGGCGAATTGTTATTGCACCCCCAGCGCGCAGTCATGGTCATGACGGTCAAAGATCTGATCAGATTAACCAGAAAGTCGTTATATTGCATCGTCCCCCGCAGTTGCAAAGAAGAGTGAGGGCGCGGCTGGGTTGGGGTTCACAATGATGGCTTTTAAAACCGATGCAAGCCCGCCGCCGGCACCAACTAGTATTTTGAAAACATGCGGGTGGGTCGGCTGGCCGCAGGCGACGAGTCGGTTGAAGCGATATTTTCGGTGGGTCGCGGGTGGGTCGCGGCGCGGGTGGATCGTGGCTGGGTCGCGACGTGGAAGGTTCGCAGAGTGGTCGCTCGTAGATCGCGTCGCGGGTGCGTCGCGGGTGGGGCGCGGGTGAGTCGCGGGTGGGCAGCAGGTGGGTCGCGGCCTTGGTCAGCGGGCGGCGACGACGACAGCAAGAACATCAATCCGCACCGCGTATTTCTATGCCAGCCACGCGCCGAGAGCAAATGTACGACCGTTCATACACCTCACACTGACAAGTGCAACCATGGAGCTACAAGGTGCTGTGGAGAGCGAGGACGAGGAATGTGATGACTCCGATGCATCGAAGGTGCGACCAGCACTGCTGCGCGTATTCAGCTGCCTTTGGCAAGTCCCGCTGCCAGTCCGGCACCATGTGTGGGCATTGACAGGACGCCGCAACGCGTGACACCTCGTGTCCCCAGGCTTGAGAGAGCCATAACACGTGGTTTACTCTTCCTCGTCGTGTCGGTGTTGGAATGAGAAATCAGATTGTCCATGGTGATGAGGAAAGGAGGAGGAGAACGAGCAGGATGATGCTGCTGCTGCTGATGATGATGATGATGATGCTGATGATTATGATGATGATGCTGTTGTGAGGATGATGATCAGGACGATGGTACTGGCGGGGTGACTGATGGGGAGGTCGATGGGAAGTAATACAGTGTTCATGTCGATGATGATGCTGATGATGACGATGATGATAATGATGATGCTGATGATGATGGTAATGATGATGAGTGTGAGGATGATGCTGATGATGCTTCTGTCGATGATGATGATGATGATGATGATGATGATGATGATGATGATGATGATGATGATGATGATGACGATGGTTATTCTTAGATGATGGCGATGCTGCTGATGATGGCGATAGTGACGATCATGATAATGATGCTGGTGGTCTGGGCGGCGGTGGGTAATTACGATGATGCTGATGACGATGACGATGACGATGATCATGATGCTGCTGATGATTATGATGATGGTGATGATGATGACGCTGTTGCTGCTACCGCTTCCGCTGCTGCTGCTGCTTCTGTTGCTGTCGGTGATGATGATGCTGATGATGATGGGGATGATGATGACGATGACGATGACGATGCTGATGCTGATGATGATGACGATTATGATGATGATGAGTATGACGATGACGATGATGATGATGATGATGATGATGACGATGATGATGATGATGATGATGATGATGGTGATGATGGTGATGATACTGATGATTCTGCTGGTGGTGATGATGATGCTGCTGCTGATGATGATGATGCTGATGCTGATGCTGATGCTGATGCTGATGCTGATGCTGATGATGATGATGATGATGATGATGCTGCTGCTGCTGCTGCTGATGATGATGATGATGATGATGATGATGATGATGATGATGATGAGTTATTGATGACGAGAAGGAGGAATCTTCAAACGGCGGTCGGCAACTGTGTCACCTTCCGTCTTCCCTTGCTGTGTTTGCGCAGCTTTGGGCATTCTCGGGGCTGCCCGGGACACCTTTTGGGCAGTCTTGGGGCCCCCCTTGGGGCCCGCCGTGGGGCTCTCTTGGGCTGTGCTGGGGCCCTCCTGGTCCTGGCCGTCACGGGGGCCTCGCGGCTGTCGTGGGGCCGCCTTGGAGCCGTCTTGGGTCGAAGAGGGGCGTCCGCACGGACGCCCTCCTTGAGTCGCCTTGGGGCCCGCTTGGGGCCGTCCTGGGCCATCTGGTTGCCCTCTTCGGCTGTTTTGATGCCGTCCTGAATTTTTTTGGGGGCCGTCTTGGGCCGCCTTTGGGCCGTCTTCGAGGCCTCCAGGGCCGCCTGGAGTGCCAGTAAGCCTGCAGTTGTGAAGACGCGCAAACATTTCAATATGCTTGGCTTCATTGGGCCTTACAGGGAGTCCTTGTGGCGCCTTGGGGACGGGGTCGTCTTGGGCCGTCTTGGACACATCTGAGGCCATGTCCTTCGGCCTTGGTCGCTTGCCTCGTCTGTCTTGGAACCTCGGGAGCGCGGATCCAGTTTATTTTTGATGAGACATCGTGGCCTCGGGAGCGCTGCATCGGGAACACTGTTCGAACGTTTGCTTTCTGTCGAGGCATTGTCGCCTCGGGGGCGTGAATCGACCGTTACGCGCGAGGTCAGGGGGGGCGAAGGGTGCACGCGAGAAAACGTGATGAGAGGGGGCGTCCTTTAGAAGACTTACAGAAGCTCCACCAGAATTCCTTTAGCATTCTACCATGCATCAATATGCCAGGTGGTACACTAGCCGATGATGCGAAAGGCATGGAGGACATGCAACGGCACAAACGAGGATGAAGAGGATGAGCAGGAGGTGGATAGGAGGAGGAACACATGGTGATGATGATGCTGCTGCAGATGATGATGATGATGATGATGATGATGATGATGATGATGATGATGATGATGATGATCATGATGGTGGTGGTGGTGGTGATGGTGATGATGACGATGCTGATGATGACGATGGTGCTGCTGCTGCTGCTGATGCTGATGCTGATGCTGATGATGATGATGATGATGATGATGATGATGATGATGATGATGATGCTGATGCTGCTGATGCTGATGATGATGATGATGATGCTGATGATGCTGATGCTGCTGATGATGATGATGATGATGATGATGATGCTGATGATGATGATGATGATGATGATGATGATGATGATGATGATGATGATGATGATGATGATGATGATGATGATGATGATGATGATGATGGGGCGACGGCGACGAACATGGCGACGACGAACGAATTCTGCCATCCACGGACAGTATTCTGCCGTATTCTGCCATCGAAGGGCCGTATTCTGTCATCGAAGGGACCATATTTTGCCATCGAAGGGCCTTCTGAGGTCGATCGTCCTGGATCCTGCGGGAGGCTCTCTCGGTCCAGCTTGGGGCTCTCTTGGGGCCGTCCTGGGCCGTTTAGCGGGCCTCTTGGGCCGTGAAGCCGTTTACGAGGGCCCTGGGTATTTTTGGGGCGCATCATCATTCGTCGTCGTCGGTCGTTTCGGTCGTCAGTCACTGACTACAGGAGGAGGAGGACGAGGAGGAGGAGGAGGATCGATGAGGAAGGAGGGGGAGAACGAGGGAGGCGAGGGAATGTGTGGGTTGGAGGGCGTCGTTCGTCGCCGTTCGTCGTCGTTCGTCGTAGTCGTCTTGCTCTCTCGCGCGCGCGGCCCCCTGGGGAAACGAGGAGGATGAGGAGAAGCACGACGGGAATGACGACGATAATATGGGTGATGATGACGATGATGCTGAGGATGAGGAAGGTGAGGATACGGAAGAGGGCATGAGGGGAAGGGGAGGCTGAGGACTTAGGCGGATGTGGGGGGGCGATGGGGATGAAGATGGTGGTGATGACGATGATGATGACTATGACGAAGACGATGATGACGACGATGACGATGCTGATGCTGCTGATTATGATGATGGTGGTGGTGTTGATGGCGATGGTT